TGGGCCTCTTGTTTTAATATCAAGCTACAGTACCCGCATCGTTATTCTTTACAATTCTATCGTGTCCTATCGTGCGTTTATTCTATCGTATCGTGCGTGTATCCTGTCGTATCGTGCGTGTATCCTATCGTATCGTGTTTTCCGTTTATCAGGTTTTGCGTTTTCTATCGTGTTTTCCGTTTACCAGGTTTTGCGTTTATCGTGAAAATCGTTTATCAGGTTCTATCGTGTATCGTGTTTTGCGTTTATCGTGTGCATTCGGAAACCCTCGCTTTTTATCTTTACCTTGAGAAGAAACACCCGAGATATCCCGAGTTCATTTTTCGTTTTGTTATTTTATTTACGATCCATTTAATTGTTGAAGAGAGAGAGAGAAATTAATAACTTATCTGATTCTCTGGTATATAAATTTAAGAAAGTAAATAAATGAATTACTAAATAAATAAATAAATACATAAATAAATAACAAAAAAACGTCAAGTACCGGCCGTAACCAAGCAGAGAGCTAGCGTAAATCGAAAGTTAAATATATTTAGCACATAAAATAATCGGTCTACAAGTCAATCGTTTTTTTTTTTTTTAATTCAGAGTGTCGATTTGTAAGAAATACTATTTGTCAAAAATAGAAATATAATTTCTTTAAATAGTCAGAGTCACTAAAAGGTAGACCATTATTAACTTTCTTTTGATAATTATAGAAACATAAAACAGTAGGTATGTGTGCAAAAATAAATAAATTGAAAAAATATCAGCATCTATATAAGGCATATCTTTTTATCAATAACGGAATTAATTAATAACAAGTTATTCATTTTTCAGAAACACTAGTAGAAGCTCTTTTTTATTAATATTTGAAAAGCATCGTCTGGTAACACACATTTACATGTAGTTGTATTTTTATGCCTCTATTCTAAATGTATGCACAATCAATTATCTAAAGGATTATTTCCAAATTATTCATAAAGGCATATACAATGTAATGCATGATCTTGATAACATTTACAAAATTTGTCTGTACGTGCAAGTATGTAGTTCCTATTTATTTATTTTTCTATTTATTTGTTTCTCTTATGTGTCTAACTAAAAAATAAATTACAATTTATAATGCATGAGCATGTTCTATTCAATTCATCATAATTATAATTATATATCATAATGTAGATGTTTAACCATTTTTACTTACTACTGCCTTTAGAAAATCGAAAAAAAAATCAGTATACATCTTACCTATTTCGGCGTGGAAATGAACTGAGTATATACTGTACACTGACAGACGGAAGCGCTCCCGTACCAAAAGAACTGACACCTATATGTGCCTGCCTAATCAGTACACTGTCTCTCTGTCAGGTCAACACCCATCCCCTACCCCTACACGACACCTTGGCCCGTGTGTATTCAAGGTCAACATACCTGAACTGCTCTCTCATCTGGTGACAAGTATTTACCTTGAACCCTACTGGGTATAAATATATGCAAAAATTTATATGAAATCGCCCGGTTTTGCTTCGATACACAAGACATGTAAATGCCTTGAATTTAATTTCATGAGTGTTTATTGATTACATTTACATTGTAATACTTGACTATATTCAAGAAGTCAATATATATTTTAACTTTTTTTTCTTTTTGAATCGGATTTTTTTTTTTTTTTTATTTTAGTGGTAAGTGCAATTTAATTTAGCACTTATCCTTTCCGTTAGTCAGGTAAATACTCTTTCTCCCTGCTATCAACCGGCTTCAATCTTTGCATATTTTATCTTTATCGGTAAGACACATCGCCATTTTTTAAAACATTAACCTTTCTATACGTAAATCCATCGTTTGTAATATATATTTGTTACCACGAGTTGGTTCGTTATGAACAATTTCCATGGCACCTAAAACATCACCGACCAGTGTAATACATGTATGTGATTCATTCACTTTTTATCACAGTGTGGTACGATCGAGTAGAACTTTACAGTGAGATACATGTACATGATAATCCGGTAAATATCGGCAACAGTTTGATGTAAAGTACTTACCGTGACAATTTAAAAATCGCGAAAAGGAAGTATCGAAAAAAGGAGAAAACATTTTACTTGAATAGTAAAATTCAATCGCGGAAAAGCAGTATAGGGTAGTCGCGGAAACGCAGACAGGTTGCAAAAATAAAATCGCGGAAAAGCAGGTGGGCGAGGCTTGTGTAGAAAGCATTTTCATTTCTTTAGGGGCGGGGAGGGGGGGGGGGTCTAAAAAGAAATATTTTGACAAGAAAACAAAAGAGGCTAAAGACATTATTGTTGACGGGCGATATTATATAAGCATTATATTTTACTCTATACTAAACATGTTGGTACACTGTAACATTTTTAGGTACACGACTGCGTTCTCCCTTCTGGGTCCTAAACAGGCCTATGACATTGGAAATACCAGAGAATAAATACAAAAGAATGGAAATGCGATATTCTTTTCGGATACTAGATGATCTAATGACGTTTATTAATTTTGTTCAATTCGA